GGGGGGAGGACAAGGGGGCGGGACGCAGGGCTGGGTTGCCACGGGGTGGGGGGGGAGAGCGGGGGGCGGGCGGGGGCGCCACTGGGCGGCGCTCAGCTCAGATTTCTTAGACCTAAAGTTCTTGAATGAGACAAATGTTTTGCTCTAGTGGTGTAGTAAGTAGTAGGAACTGTGCTGCTAACCCACAGGCAGGTGGTTCGAATCCACCAGTGATCTGCACAAGAAAGATAGGCAATTTCCTCCAGTGTGATTCACAGCCTCTGAAAACTCACTTGAGGGTCAGCTATGGGTCCGTTCCAACTCGCTAGTACACAACAACAACAACTACTCCTACTACTTAAAACAAGGTAGCTCGAGTGGCGTAGCAGGAGAAAGATGGCTAATCTCCTCCCTAAACTAAACTGCCTTAGAAAACCTGGTGGAGGGTTCAGCTATGTGTCAGTTCTGCCTCGATGGTACACATCAACAACTAGTGGGCTAGTGGTAAGGAGTTGCACTGCCAACCCAAAGGCAGGCAGTTTGAATCCACCAGCTGCTGTGCAGGAGAAAGATGAGCATTCTCCTCCAATTTTCTCTGAAGAACCACGAGAGCTATGAGCCATTACCAACTTGATGGCACATGACAACAACTAATTGAAAGGTCAGAGGTTCAAACCCACCTAGGAGTAAAACCCAAAGATGCTCTGGGTTTGTAAAAACTTCAGCTAAGAAAACCCTATAGGGCTCTGCTATATGGCTGTAATAGTATGGGGTTGCTAGGAGGTGGAATTGACTGCACAGCAGTGGATCAGGTTTTCTGTTCTTGAATATAGTTCTTTATATTGTAAGATGTGCTCCACTTTTCTCTGTCCCAGCTAGAGACGGTCTCTTACTGTGTGTCCCTCAGTCTGGCAACAAAAATTTCTTTACCAGAGCACACATAGATGGTTTCAGTGGCCAAATTCTTTCCTCCAAAGTATGACCAGGATCTTATCCCACCTGAATGTAAAACCAAATGTGACCATGGTTTTATCCCATCTGAATGTAAAAATCATCTCAACAATAGACTTGGTGCACTGAACACCAACAAGCAAAGAATTATGGGATGACATCAAGTACAGCATACATTTTAAAAAGCAAAAGGTCATTGAAAAGATGGGGAAAGGCCAAAACAAACATCAGAGGAGGCTTTAAAATTTGCCTTGAACAACAGAAGGTAAAGTGAAAGAGGGAAATTATAAAGAGAGGTGAACTGAAGATTTCAAAGAGTAGCTCAGGAGAGAAAGCTAAGCATTATATTGACATATGCAAAGACCTGGAGATAGAATACCAAAAGGGAAGAACATATTTAACATTTCTAAAGCTGAAACAACAATGGGATTAGGTGTGTCGGAGTCAATAAGACTGGCTCAGGATAGGGTTGGGCTCAGAGCTATTGTACATAGGGTCTCTATGAGTTGTGGGAAACTTGATGGCACTTAATAGCAACAACCTGAAAGACCTGAAGAGCAAATTTAAGTCTCTAGTGTTAATATTAAGGATACTGCAAAATTTTTATGGATACCATTGAGAAGAAAGGAATCCCAGAGCTTTAATTGTTCTCATGTGAAACCTGAAGGGAGCGCTGGTGGCCGAGTGGTGAGAAGATGTGCTGCAATCTCAAAGGTATGCAGTTCGAATCCACCAGCTGCTCTGCAGGAAAAGGACGGGCCATTTCCTCCCATTTGATTAGCTGCCTCTGAAAACCCACTAGAGGGTCAACTATGAGTTGGTTCCAACGCGACGGTACAAAACAACATGCAAAACCTATACTTGCATCAGGAAGTAGTTATCGGAGCAGAACAAAGGAACACTGAGAGACTCAGGAAAGGTGGGGGTGGGGGTTGTAGCCTTTCTCCATAACTGCTCAATCTGCAGGGAATTCTGGTGACCTAGTGGGTCTGTAGTTGTGGTGCCAACCCAATGGCAGGCCATTTAAATCCACCAGCTGCTGCTCAGGAGAAAGGCAGGCAGTCTCTCGTGCTATTTATGGCCTCTAGAAACCTGCTGGAGGGTCAGCTATGAGTTGCTTCTTACTCTACAGCAGTGAGTGAATGAGTCAGTCTGTAGGCAAATCAGTGAAGAAGCTGGACCATGTGAAGAAGAATGTAACATCATGATTGGAGGAAGATTCATCAATAACCTGTGTTATGAAGATGTCACAGCCTGGCAGAAAACAAAGACTTGAGGTACCTGCTGAAGATCTAAGATGATAGCCTTCAGTATAGATTACATCTCAGCATCAAGAAAACAGAAATCCTCACCAGTGGATCAACAGGCAACCTCATGATGTTGCTGTTGTTGTTAAGTGCTGTCGAGTCATAGGTAACTCACAGCAACCCTATGAACAGAAATCCTCAACATTTGTGTGACTTTCATCCTTTCTCCAGCTTCATAGGGTTTCCAGAGGCAAGCTCTTTACAGAAGTGGATGCCACTCCTGCTTCCAAGCTGCTTTAATCCGGGAGCTCCACCAAACACTGTCCACTGTTATCATGAGTTACATGAGTAACCGTTATCACAACTGACACATCAGTGTTACAACGTTCACCTTCACAGCAACCACAAGCTACCTCTGTATGGCAAGTGGACACACAAGGGCCATACGACCTAGAAAAATGTTTGACAAAAACCAGTTATTGAAGTTGCCAATGATTTACTTTTGTGTGGATCCACAATCCACATGGAAGCAGCAGTCAAGAAATCAAAAGATGTGTTTCATTGGGTGAAATCTGCTGCCGAGGATCTCTCCAACGTGCTAAAGAGGAAGGATGTCAGTTTAAAGCTTAGATGTGCCAGATACAAGCCACGGCATATTTCCATCTGCTTTGTATGCATCTGAAAGTTGGACAAAGAATAAGGAAGACCAAAGGATATTTGATGCTTTTGTGGTGTTGGAGAAGAGCATTGAATATACCATGGACTGTCAAAATAACCAGTCGGTCTTGCAGGAAGTGCTGCCAAGGTACTCCTTTGTGGCAAAGACAGTGAAACTCCATCTCACATATTATGCTGATGCTGTCAGGAGATGCCAGTCTTTGGAAAAAGACATCATGCTGGGAAAGAGGATTAGTGAAAGAGAGGAAGACCCTTGAGATGGATTGCCATAGTCACTGTCGCAATGGGCTTGAGCATGTCTGAGTTGGTAAGGATGGCATAACTCTGGGCAGACTTCAGATCTGTTGTTCATAGGTCACCATGAGTCTAGTCCACCAGAGGGCAGCCTAGCCATAGTAAAGGATTTGCATAAGCCGGAAAGGTCCAGGTGAGGCAGAACCAGGGAGGAAGGGGATGATTCTGAGGACAATAAAGGGTCCTGATACTGACTGGAGCATCTCCTGATACTGAGAGGAGACGCTGAGGCTGGGTTTGGGAGTGGGCTAAGCTTTGAATGCAGTTGAGCAGCAAAGGGGCTGGCATAGGAGAAGGCTGGCATAGGAGAAGGGGCTGGCATAGGAGAAGGAACTGGCATAGGAGAAAAGAGAAATACAAGAGTGACACAAATAGTTCCTGGGGTCAGCTGGTAAGTGAAAGGTTGGAGGTTAAGTTCACCCAGAAGCATCTAAGAAGACAGCCCTATTGATCTGCTTCAAAAGGACAGTTCTTAAAAACCCCATGAGTGTTCTTCTGTGACACACATAAGGTTCCATGAGTAAGAGTCAACATGATGAATTAACTAGCAGCCCCTCGGGTGGGGTAGCCCATGGGGGTCTGCACTGCTAACACAAAGCCTTCACGTCTCTGTTGGTTGGAACCCACCAGAGGTTCCAAGGGAGAAGGATGGGCAGTCTCCTCCCACATGATTCACAGCCTCCGAAAGCCAATGGAGGACCAGCTGTGAGTCAGTTTCCACTAGACAGCAGTGAACAAGGGGCTGGATGACGAGGGAGTCTCTGTTTTCCAAGTGGGGACACTGAGGAGGGAAGGCTTTACTGGGGGTCCCAGGAGAAGAACCCCAACACACTCCAGGGGAGGAGGTTGTCAGTAAATCCAGCTGCTCTCTCCCAAGGCATCAGTGGGAGGGTGAGGAGGTGGAGGCTATCCTGGGAAAGAACTCTTTTCTGTCTTCTGAAGCAAGTGCAGAGTGTTGATTTGGAGGCAGAAATGCTTCCCAGCCTCCAGGTTGCAAGACCCTATTTGGGAAAGCTCTCCCAGACACTTCTCCACCGCCCAGCTCAGCCTCCTCTGGGTCCCTCTCCTTCCCACCACCAGGCCCTGGCCTCCTGCCGGGACACTCTAGGCTACTATGTTGAGGAGCGACTCCAAGTTGTGGACTTTATGAACCAGCCACTTGAGAAGGTTCTGGATTACAGCTGCCACCAGTCAATTACAGACTTCTCAGGGCCACTCAGCTCTTCCCCTCGGGGCCAGAAAACTCAGCTTCCAGACCCCTTGGGCTCCTTTACTCCAGGTACCCCCCACACCACTCCCTAACCCTTTGGTTACTCAAGAACCTCTCCCCCACCCACAGCTGTTCCTGGAGCTTAACTAAAAGGGAATGCGCTGAAAGGAGTCCCTCCCCTCATACTTTAGCTTGTATCTCTGCCCAATCTTGCTTTCTACTCCGGAGTATCTTTTTATTTTATTTTATTCATTTCACTGAACATTTACAGAGATTTTGGATTTCTATTCATTCATTGTTGCACTTTTCTCCCCGGCCACCCCATCCCCACCCCCAGTTCTCTCTTCTCCTTGAAAAGCAAAAGAAAAAACTCCTTCATTGGTACACAATCCACCCCCCCCTCCCCGCACACCTCCCACCCCTAGCCCCACCCCAAATATAATCCACTCTGCAACCCTCATTACTTACTCTTATGATAATCATAATGTGCCCTAAAATATATTACTTTTAAACTGTTCTCTCCCTCATCCGCTTCAATGCAGTATACATAATTAATCCAGTTTTTCTCAGTCTTACCCCGACCTTGATGTCAGTCCCATTCTACAACAGTGGCACCATACAGTATTTGTCCTTTTGTGACTGAGATATTTCACTCATCATAATGTCCTCTGAAGTATCTTTTTTTTTTTTTTCTGAAGTATCTTTTATGCCATCTAGTGCCTGCTCCAGAAGCCTTGCCTCTACTTCTAAAGGAAACTCTAAAAACGCTACTCACTCTCGCCCTGTTAACGCCTCTCCTCTGGACTTTCTCCCAGCCCTCTGTCCCTTGTCCAGGGCCCGCTACCACCGGTACAATAGAAGAAGGGAGATTGCCAAAAGCCAGGTTCTGAAGATGGTCTCCCTTTTCCCCAGATTGCGCGGAGGCGCTGCAGCAAGCCAAGCAATTGATGGCTGAGTCCCAGGACACTTTGGAGGATATGGCCAAGAACGAGGCGCACGTCCGAGAGCAACAGCGGCAGATCAACGATCGTGTGGGCGCCACGCTGGGGCAGAAGATGCTCGAAACCAAAGAGCTGAGCGTGGGTGGCCTGGGGAAGCTTGAAGGTGGGAGGGAGAGCGCCAGGGGTACCAACTGGGATTGTAATATATTGTCCTATATTGCCTCCAGCACAAAATGAACGTGGCAATGGGACTGATGAGGGGAACCATCAACCGGTGCACAAAATTCAGCCAAGAACTGCACAACACCCTTGGCTCCATCAAGGTGATCTTGGAGTGGGTGGAGCTCCAGGGAGGGGCGGGGGCGTGTCTGGGCAGGTGGGCCTTACCGCTGCGCACACCACGCTGCACCAGGGTCCCCTGTTGAAATGTCACCTGGAGACCCGAGAGAAGCTGGATAGACCCTTGGTTCGAGTGTACCAGAGACATGTGGGCACCCAACTCCCCGAGGCCTCGCGCCTCACCCAGGTAAGCTCCTCCCTGACAAGACACCTTTCCCAGAACAACTGGCCCAGGTAAGACTTCCCACCTGGATACCTCCCTTTTAACTCTTGGCTGGGTGAGATCTTTAATCATCCACACCTCTGACTCTGGTGAGTTCCCTCACAACTTCTCCAACCCTCGCCCTTTCATTTGGCCCTTCTACATTCACACCTCACCCAGGTGCGCTCCCCACACCCCAGGTCGTCCAGGCTTCTCCCTCAGGCCCCTCCTTGACTGGGGGGGAGGGGCTTTTCTAGCACACCTGGCCCAAGTGTGTCTGGCGAAAGTTCACCGTCTTGGCTCCCACATCCCGTTCCCCAGCACTGCCTTGCCCCTCTCTGTAGGGCGCCAACAAGCTGCACAGCCACGTCGTGCAAGTGGAGAAGAACCTGAACGATCTTTTGGCTGAACACAGGCACCTCAGCCATAGCCTCAATTGCAAGAAGATAGGGTTTGAAGTGGATTACAACGTGGTGCGCCTGCGTAAGCGCCAGCGGAACCCGCACGTGTCCTACGAGGCGGCGCAGCGCCTGGTGAACGACTGGGAACCCAAGACGCCTCCACGCACCGAGATTGGCACCGTCCTCCAGTGACAAGGGAACCCTCAGCCTACCCCAGTGATACCTCCCTTCTCCCCTAGTGTCGGATGGTAGAATTATATTAACTATTTAAGATAACAAAAAGATATTATGCACTCATTGCTGTTATCGGTGGTTAATTCTGACTCTTAGCGACCAGAAGGAAATCTTGCCTAATGTGGCATCATTTTCACAGCCTCCACTGGGGTGGAGTGATGACAATGTGGGGGTCACTGTGTCAACCCATCTCCTTGAGGGTCTCCCTCTCTTCCTCTTACCTAACCTTCACTTTTCCAGGCATGATGTCCTCCCTCAAGGACTGGGCTCCTGATAACAAGCCCCAAAAAGTATGAGAGAGAGTCTCACCATCCTTGCCTCTAAAAAGCACCCTGTCTGCACCTCCTACAAGAGAGATTTGTTTGCTCTTTTTTCCATGGTACTTCCAATACTCTTTGCCAGCATCAAAACTTAGAGACCTCAGTTCCTGAAGATACTTTTGAGCACTCAGTGCAGCAGATTTGTTCCCCTAAAGGAATATTTCTTGACTGTTGCTTCTGCCCACAATGATTGTGGATCCAAGTAAAATTAAATCCTTGAGACAATGTCAAGCTTTTCTCCCTTTTTGATGGTGTTGCCTATTAATCCAGTTTTGACCACTTTCCCCCCTTGATGTTGACATGTAATCCATACTGAAGACTGTAGTCTTTGATCTGCTGCTGCAAGCGCTTCAAGTCCTCATTCTTTTCTGCAATCTAGGTTGTGTCATCTGTATAACGCAGGTCATTGAAGAATCTTCCTCCACTCCCGGTGCAACATTCTTTATATAGTCCCTCTTCATGAACTATTTGCTTACCATAAAGATTGAATAGGTATGGCGAAGAACTACAACCCTGATGCACACCTTTCCTGATTTGGAACCATGCAGTGTACCCCCCCCTTTCTGCTTGAATAACCGCTCCCACGACTGTTCCACACAAGCACAGTTAAACAACTCCAAAGTCATTTCCATCAATTCAGAACTGACTGACAGCTAGCTGACCCTTCAGTATGTTTCCAAAGCTATAACCTGCAGGAGAAAAAATTGCCCATCTTTTTCTCCATAGAGTCACGGATACATTAGTGCTGCCAGAGAAGCACAGCCTATGGACGAGCAGTGCGACTCACTGCCCATGGACTGTGCCACCAGAGCTCCCTGCATAATTAAATGTTCTGAAATTATTATCCATACTTTATTGATAGCTTCACAGTTGAATGCCTTTACACAGTCAATGAAACACAAGTAAACAGCTTTCTGGTGTTCTCCCAAGATCCATTTGATGTCAGCAACAACAGTATCTTCCATTCTGTGACCCCTTCAGAATCCAGCCCGAATTCTTAGCAATTTCTTGTCAGTGTAGTACTGCACACAAATTCTATAATCTCCAGAAGTATTTTATTTCTTGACATTAATGATATTATTTGCTTCTTTCCAAATCCTGTTGGATCATCTTTTTCCAGGAATGGGCACAAACAAGAATCTCTTCCACTTGGGTCATCAGGTAGCTGTCCTCCACGTTCCTTGGCACAGACAAGTAAGCATGGCCAGAGAGACAGAGAGACATCTGTTTTACCGGAAAACCTCAGTTGGTATTCTCTCAATTCTTGGAGCCTCATATTTTGCAAGGCTTTCAGGGCACTTCCAGTATGTCCCTTTGTGAGAATAATGGTGATTCAGAGGTCTTTGAGTAGGTCAAACATGTGCTCCTAAAGGTTGGTTGTTCAAATTCCTGATAGGCACTATTGAAAGAAAGGTCCTGTTATCTCCTTCTGTAAAGATGACAGTCAAGAGAACCTCGTGGATCCGTGTTACTCTGGAGCATCGGGTTGTGACTGTGAGTCAGAATCAACCACGGTGAACTTGGTTTTCTGGTTTCGGTGGTTCAATAGTAGAATGTGGAAGACCTGAGTGTAGTTCCCTAGCCATTAGGTCTTGTGCAGCCACTATGTTTCCATCAACAGAGGGCTTATGTGTTACTGTGGTGAAAAAGAGGTTTCAGTAGAATGTTCAGGCAAAGTAGGTCTAGGGAAAAAAGGCTGATGACCTACTTGTGAACACTGGTCAATGATCCAAGGTACAACTGTTCATGGATAGAAGGTGCAGAACCAGGTAATGTTTTGTTCTCTGTAGTGCAAGGGGTCACTCAGAGGCAGAACCATAAGGTTCTCTTTGCTGTTTATCAAAAAAGATGACCAGCTTTCTCTTCCAAAGTGCTTTTAGTGGATATGAACCACCAACCTTTAGAAGCACAGTATGTTTGGCCCACTCAAGGACTTCTAAGCCATCTTTAGCCTCACAAATTGACATACAATATGTACACGGAAGGAATTGGCAAAATATAAGTCAAAATAACTGGCTAAGTGTTGTTGTTGTTGTTGTTGTTATGTACTGTTGCATCACCTGCGACCCATAGTGACCCTATGTACAGCAACTCTGAAGTCTGCACTGTCCTGAGCCAATCTTACTGATTCTGACACAGCAACTCCCATTGTCCCAGTTACTGTGTGAGTCCATCTCATCTGGGGTCTTCCTCTCCTGTGTTGTCCCTCTACCCTTCCGAGCATGACGTTTTTCTCCAAGGAGCGAGTGGTCCCTCCTGGCCACATGCCCAAAGTATATGAGGGAGCTTCAAAATCCTAGCCTCCAAAGAGAAACTTGGTTTCACTCTCTCCAAGACAAACTTATTTGTTTTCTTGGTGGCCCATGATATGCTCAAAACTCTTCTCCAGCACCACAACTCAAATGCATTGATTCTTCTTTAGTCACTGTCCAGCTCTCTGATACAAGTAATGCAAAGACCATGGCCTGGATTAGGCACACCTTAGTCTCTAGACTGACACTGCTGCTCTTTAGAACTCTGGAGAGATCCCTGACAGCAGATTTTCCCAGTGCAATTCTTTTGATTTCCTGACTGCTGGTTTCAAGAGTGTTGATTGTGGAGCTGAGTAAGCTGTAATTGTTAGCAACCTTAATCCTTTCTCCATCCATCATGGTGCTGCCAATTGGCCCAGTGGTGAGAATCTTTGTTTTCTTGATGTTGAGCTTCAATCCATACTGAAGACCACAGTCCTTGACCTTCTGCAGCAAGCGCTTCAGGTCCGCCTCAGTTTCAGCAAGAAAAGTTGTGTCATCTGCATAACATGAACTACCTTACACCAATGGTCCTCTGATACAGTTTGAAAAGATAGATTTGACCCTGAAACCTACAGCGTCCCTTTCCAGCAGGAAGTAGCTAAGAGAATACACCGTCCCCTTTTTCTTTATGAATCAGGGTGAAGTCTCTCTCAAGGAGGAGTGGGACACACTGACAAAGGAGATTAATCAGAACTGGCTTTGACAAGCACTGTGGCAATTGGACAATTAAAACAGACTTTCAATGGGGGAAAAAAAGAAGAACAAACTGGGGAGGAGGGTTAGAGAAAATAGTGCAACAATGAATGAATGAAAACCCCAAATCTCTGTAAATGTTCATGAAAATGAATAAAATTTAATAAAAATTTAAAAAAAGAAAAAAAAAGATAGATTTGGGCTCCAGGTTGCCTAGGTTCAAATCCCATCTTCCTACTTTCAAACAAGTTCCTTTTCTGGTGTTGATCTCTCTCCGCCTGTAAAATGTAGACAATGGTGGTAGCAAAAGATTGTCTTGGGCATAGGTGAGCTCGGATGCCTAAGGCCTGTGGAGTGGTGCCCACACATAGCATGTTCCCAACATATGTGTTTTCCAATTGCTTCCTATGCATCTGAAAGTTGGACCATGAATAAAGAAGAATGAAGAATTGATGCCTTTGAGTTGTGTGGCAAAAGACTATTGATTATCCAGTGGACTTCCAAAAGAACAAACAAATCTGTCTTGAAGGAAGTGCTCCTTAGAAACAAGGATGATTAAACTTTGCTTTACTTTGGGCATGTTTTCAGAAGGGACCAGTCCTTGGAGACATCAGGCTGGGAAAGGGAGAGGGTTAGGAAAAGAGGAAGACCCTTCATGGGATGGATTGACATGGTGACTGCCACAGTGTGTTTGAACATGGCAGAGATCACGAGGATGTCTCCAGATAGACAAAGGCTCAGATCCCAGGGTTAACACGAGTCATAGTTGACTTGATGGCACCTAACAACAACAAGAGCAACACACATGAGCTGTTATCCCCATTTATTGCTGAGAAAACTGAGGCACAGAGAAAGTAAGCAGTGTGGAGCTCCTGACGACAGAGCCTGCATTCTAAACAGAACCCATCAAAGCTCACCTATGTCCTCAGCCTCTTAGATCAATCCCAGCTTCCTCTACTTTCTGCCCGTAATGACACTCACTACTTTCACCACGCCCCAAACCCATTCCCCAGCTTTTCTCCTGGGGCCCTTCCCAAAGAAGCAGTTTACTCTCTGAACCCAAGCAGCAGAAGTGAGAGGAAATTTTCCGTACTGTCCATTCTCCTCATCAGTTACCTCTTGTGGGGAAACAAAGCAGAAAGTTCTCCTTTCAAATAAAATAATTTCTTACAGTCCTAAAAAGTGCCAGTAGATGGCAACAGAGAGCAGAAGTGAGGTGGCATGAAGAGGCTGAACAGGAGCTCTGGTGGCCTAAGTGGTAAGAAGCTGCACTGCAATCTCAAAGCTAGGTTTATGTCCACCTGTGTGCGTCTTGAGAGAATGGTCAATCTCCGCATGTGTGATTTACTGCTTCTGAAAACTCACTGGAGGGTCGGTAACTTTGGGTCGATTCTGACTCAACAGAACTTCTTCACTAATTGACAATTTCAGTCTTTTCTCTATCATGATGTTGTCAATCAGTCCAGGGGTGATAATTTTTTCCTTCTTGATATTGAGAGGTAATCCTTATTGAAGGCTGTATTCTTTGATCTTCTGCAAGCAAATGCTTCAAGTCTTCCTCTTTTTCAGCAAGCAAGGTTGTGTCATCTGCATAACACAGGTTGTTGAGTTTTCCTCTTATCCTGATACCTCATAATTATTCACAGAGTTC